TGAGGTAAAAAAGACATTGACTATTTATGAAACTTTCTCAAGACATACGTTTTAGGATATTAATATACATGGGAAATTGGCAGATTATTTACTAACACATCAACAGTGTAGAACCTGCTACAGATATGGTAGATAGAATGAATTTCAAACAAATTTAGAATGCCAAAATGTGTAGTGCCAGCTACAAGAAGTGCTATTCTAAAATAAGTATGGAGTGCCATTTTGGAGGGAGAAAAGTCATGTTGGTATAATGCAGACGGGAAAAATCTGCCATGCAAGTGTGTGTAAGAATTAGCCTCTGGAAGGTTTTGTAAATTGGGAAAGTTCTTAAGTGATGATAATGGCTGTGTAAATTTACTTTGACATTGATTTTAATCTACTGTTTTCTTTTCTAGGTGGTATAGAGAAATTGAAGTCAAAAATATTCACTGAGCACTATTGGAAAAGTTTTGGGAGTTTCTCCATGCATGAAAAAAAAACTTTTATTGTACGGGGTGTAATGTTTCAACTTTAAAAAATGCAGCAATGGGAGTTATTTACAGATATAAGAAAAAAAAGAAAATACATATATACGTGGGATTTCTTAATATGTGTTTGAATTTACAAAGCAATTGGTTCTGTATGAATTAGCAAATAGTTAACTGTTAGGAGTTACAGATATTGTTTTTCTAAATTTATAAGAAGAAAAAAAAACAGTGGCAAGAATAGCCATTACAGATGTTACATATTCCCATCCTGTATAGACGGAAAAATATCTGATCAATATTACAAAGAACAATAAAGGATTCAATAATAATAGACAAAGAGAGACTCCCTTTACCTGTCCGTCACCTTCATCAACCTCCGTTTTGTCTTTTTTTTCCGTCTTTTCTTTGTATAGATTTTCCGTGGTTTTTATTTTTTTTGAGAGAATATGATGGTACTATCATTTTCCTGAAGACATTACTTTATGGCTGTAGATGGTTTTCTTATTCATTAACTCAGAGCGAGATGATAGGATCTTCCATGAGAACCGGAATCTCAATCTCGATGTTCTCAGTATTCTGAAGAAATTTTTTGTAAGTAGATGAGTTAGTGAATATTTGGCATAATGACCTATATTTTTTACTTATTTATATTTATTATAGTCTTTTCTGCAGCATCAGATCATCTCTCTATCAAATATGTATCTGTCTGTCCTCTGCCTAATACACTCATCTAATCTATTCAGTTCATGTCTCTGATCTGCTTCATCTATACTTTACTCTGTTACTCTCTCTATTCATATATCTGTTTCTGCTCTGATCTCTGTATTATTACTTCTCTATCTATCTGATTCCATGTCTCTTCTCCTCTCTTATCTATTATACTGTCTGTCTGTCTGTCTGTATCTCTCTCATCTTCTACTACTATCGTAATAATTCTATATCTAATATCCATTATCAGATTTTATTCTCTCTTCTCATATCCTATTCTTCTTCCTTACATACCTATCGCCTACATAACACGCAACATATATGGGAGTGAAACTGAATATATAAAGTATATCATATGCGTAGGTTCAGATATATATCATATATAATAAAAAAAATAGACCATCAAACATTCCCTTAATATCATTGAAACTAACAAAAAAGCAAATGTGTTATTAATATTAGCGGTAATTAATATAAGTTATAGATATTAAGTAACCAATATGATTTAAGGAAACCGAAGAAAGGCAGAGATATTTCACATATGGTCCTTAATATTACAGGTCGTATAGAGAAGATGCACCAGGTCTATTATATTATTATGATTTATTATTTGCATTTTCTTATTATCCATTTTTTAAAAATTATGCGGTACCAATTTAGTTGAAACATGTTCATTATAACCGGTTTTGCTTGATGCGAAAATTTGGATATGCAAAGGTAAGTAGAATGTAATGACCACACTCAATAAAAACTAAACAACACACTAGCAAAGTGACATTAAGAGCCAACACACAACAACTACACATCAAGCTCCATCATATAATATATATAACACACACATCAATAACACACACACACACATCACAACACAACTACACACACACACACAGCACTACACCTACACACATATAATAATTTAACATATCACTCATACACACATAATACATTTATATAACATATATATATATATATTACACACAATCTAACACAAACAACACAACACACACACACTCACTCACTTATCACTTACACGAATCAACTTATCACTCAACTCACTATCACTAACCTAAACCAACTAAGGCTTTGAAAAATCAAGCACAAGTAACTAGTATTTATAATAAACTAAAAAATCTAACAGTGCTAATTTATAACGATATATAATATTCATCTATACTAGATTGGTTTTACGATAGCCAAAAATCGATGATTCACCTGTACAAAAACAAATAGTATGTAAATGAGAATGAATAATAATGTAATGAAATGTATAACGAATGTAATGTAATGTAAATTAAACTGCCTTTGATTAAATCTTTCGAAGAGCTTCAGTGATTCTGAAATTTGGCAATTAATTTTGGTGAATACTTAATCTAAAACCGATTATCAGCTTGCATCTCTTGCATTCTTATTGAAGCTCAATTAATATATTAATAATATGATATATAGTATATATATATATATATGTGATGTGCTGTGTGAGTGTGTGTGTGTGTGTGTGTGTATGTATATATATATATTATAATTAATAATAATAATAATATATATTAATATATATATATAATTAATGATTAATATTATTAGTATATTGTAAATATGTATTAGTATATGTGTGTTGGATAGTTGATTGGTAAGTGTAGGTGTTGATTTGTGTTTGATCGATGTGTGTTATGTGTTTGTGTTACGTAGTGTGTTTAGTTGATGTCAGGGATAGGGGTAGTGTCTATTTTGTGTATATTATTATTTATAGTTGACAGTGTAGTGGAGTTACAGGTGGTTATATATTTATGCGATTGTTAGATTGATAGTGTGTTTGTATGATGTGTGTGTGTGTTACAGTTGGTATGATACAGTGTTGGTGATATGTAGCTGTGATATATTAGCGATGTATAATAACAAGTATGATATATACAATGTATATTATCATGTATATACATGTTATATACATGTATATAAACATGATATTAATACATTTGTATATTTACTATGAAATAAGTATATTTCAATTAAATATAGCTATATACATATCATATAGTATTAAATAATATATATAATATATTAATTATATATTATATATATTAATATATTATATATATATATATATATATAATATATATATTATAATATATGTATATATATATATTATATATGTATATACATATTGTACGCTATAACATAACATATTATATATATATATATTTTACTAATCTGACAATGAATAATCATTCTTACTAATAGGCAATAAGGTAAATCAATACCACCTATATCAAGCCCACCCGGATAATTATAAATTGAAACAATGAATATTAAATTACACAAATATTTATACTACTATCGACGAGATGGTCGGTATATATTTGTGTCGGGGAGGCAAGAGGCGGTCATGGAGTCATAAGGGGGATTTCAGGGGTCGGTCCTAGGTGGTTATATAGGATACTGACAGCGGTGTAGTACTTTACGGGACCGCTCTCTACTGTAGAATAATATAGGAGATTAGTGTATAATATATTACTTTCATTTCAGTGATCGAGCTATATCGCAAATGAAGGTAACGAGGTTAAGATGTCACATAGTGTGAGTGTATATATTTCGTGTTTACTGGGTGTCGAGGAATTTAAGGTATGATGCTGCACTGAGGTAGATATTATGGATATTAATTATCAATCTCTTATCTATTCTCTATATTATTATATCATAAGTTTATGTAATTTAGAACATTACACATTAATTATAATTATGTTTTTATCATGATATACATATAATAATAAATAAATATATATATATATATTAATAATATATATATAAATATATTAATATATATATATATATATGTCAATGACATGATACAATATAAACCTATAGATAATTGAGGGTTCTATAGCCTTGCACGATAAAGCACTATAGTAGCTGACTCATGAGCTCTGTTCCATTCCTAAGTAATCTATCTATATATATAAGTACCACGCGCACGACAATATCTCACATTGATTTTACCCAAGTAAGCTTATTCTCCCTACCTCCACATATATATAGAAGCTAATGCTGCGAACTTCACACAATACCCTTTACTAGTCAAACGTAATACCTAGGAAAAAGTAAATAATGACACCTTATACCAAAACAGAAGAATCAGGCACATCATGCCCAGATAGATCACAGGAGTCGCTGTAATAAAGGAGCGTACTCATCAGTAGTACAGAACAGAAGAGACATACTGAGCAGACACATAGTAATAATAATAAAAACAGGAAAGCAGTATCACAGTGACGGAGGCTAAAGCTCACCTCCCGCTTACTATCATCGGCAATATACTCATATATACGGGTGCGGGTCTGTCGGGGTCAACGCCTTTATTATCTACTACCCCAAATATAATAATACTAGCAAAGCCTAAGTAAATATATCCCTAATCAGAATAGTCATATTATATATTAATTCCAACCTGACTCCATGCTCATCACCACTAACTCTTCTTCTAACGATATTAATATAGATTAATATATTATAATATAACATATGTATATTTATAATAAATAATATATATTATTAATATGTATATATTATAATACTAATATATAATGATGAAATATTATAATTAATATTAATATTAATAATTATCTAATATAATATATATTAATATATAATTTAATATTAATATATATATATATATTAGTAATTAATGTATTAATTAATATAATAAATATTAATATATATTAATTATATATATATACCCTCAGAAATATTATTTATATCACTCAGTTCCATTCACTTACCCTCACTATTAACTTTGGTTTATCCTCCAATCACGCTTACACCTCGCTCCCTCAC